GAATATAGTGTTCAGTTTCGATTTCAGCTCAAACAATTGAGTAGCCATTTCTGAGCCTCAGTTTCCTTATCTTTAAAGTAAGAATAATGTTCACAGGATGCTTTGTGTCTGGCAGAGTAAATACCCATTAAATGCCTCTTCTACTTATAACCATTGTATTAATACAAATATAAGCAGTACCTTTAAACATTCAAAACTGGATGTGGGCAAAATTTAGCCGTTGTAAAACACACAGGCCTAATGGTGTGTAACTGCTCAGTGGTTTCTTAAAGTATCGCCACCAACCCCAACTGCACACTGATTCCAGCCATCTGAGAACCAGACTGCAGGGCTGCCCTTAGCTGCCTGAGAAATCAGGCGTCTCAGCAGCTGTGCTCATTTACACTCATGTGCTGTTCAGGGGCTCTTCTTCCATGTCCCTGCAGATCTCAAAGCAGGAGTAATGTGACTGGTCTTAAAGAGACCTTCTAACTTAATCTGTGTAGAAAATGGGCCTTAGTAGTTGGACAGGGTAAGCAATGGCAAACCTAGACATTTGTGTGTGTTTAAAATGTAGCGAATATCTGTGAAAACCACCACTCAACTGAAGAACTAAAACACTGCTAATAAATTACACCTACCCGTTCTTCTCCTATCTCACCTTCCTGATTCCCTGCCAGGGGCCACCCATCTCCTGAAATAGGCTGACCATTCATTCGTATTCTTGTCTTCTCTTGTCTTCTCTTTTCTGTCTTCTCTCTTTCTGCTCTCTCTCTTCTCCCTCTCTCTATTCCCATATCCTCTTCCCTTCTGTCTTTCCTTCCCCGTCGTGTGTGTGTGTGTGTGTGTGTGTGTATGTGTATTTAATAAGGGTGTCATAGATTCCTTGGGATTTCTTTGCATTTCTCATCTGTCTATTGTGTTGCTAAACTAAGGTCCACCCATTTTATTATATATAGCTTTGGTTCATTTATGTTTTCTCTTATACAGTTGTGTGAATGTTCTGCAATTTGTCTGTTTAATTGACGTTAGGAATCTGATTGCTTCCTCCCTTTCAGCCTTCTGTTTTTTTGGCTGTTATACTCAGTGCTTTTTCAGAAATTCTTGTATTTATCACTTAATTCTTATGTGTTAACATATACCTAGGCATGGAGTTGCTGGGTTGTAGGTAGGATGTGAAGTGATCCATTTTAGATGTGACAACACTAAATTGTTTTCAGGTTTGTTATACAGCCGCTAGAGAACTGGTTGCTCCACATCTTCCCAGTGGGTAGTATTATCAATCTTTTTAACTTTTACCAACACATTAGGTATAAAATGGTATCTTACCATGCTCTTAATTTGCCTTTATTTGAGGTTGAGTGTCTCTGCATATGTTTAGTGGCCTTTATTTTTTTATTTTTTTGCTTCCTTTGTGAGATAAAGATACATGCTTCTCATGTCTTTTGCCCGTCTTTCTGTTGTTGCCATACTGTCTTATCAGCATTTCTGGGTATTCTGGTCCTCATCCTGTGCTTGTTGAATATCATATTAAGATCTCCCAGTTCACAGATTGTTTTCAGTATCGTTAGTGTCTTTTGATGGATAGAAGTCTTAATAGCAGTGTACCCAAACTTCCTGATTTTTTTTAATGCTTAACCTTTTCTGTATCTTCATAAATTCTCCCCTCCTTCAAGCTCAGAAAGATATTCACTTACATTTTCTTTTCAAGTTTTCAAAGTTTGCTCTTGACATTTAAGTTCTTCATCCATCTGGAGTAGATTTTTCAACTTGGTATGACTAAGAGTCCAATTTCTTTTTTTTCCTATGGATAAACAATTTTTCTAGCTCCTCATATTTCTGGGCTGTTCTGTTCAAAAATGAAAGTTTTGCAGATGCAGTAATTCTATTTCTAGGGTTATCTATACCACTGGCCAGTTTGTTTATCTCTGCCCCGTTACCATACTGTGTTAGTTACCACAGCTTTACTAGCTTTTTTAACTGGTAGGGCAAGGCCTCTTCTCATTCTTCAGAAATGTCTCAACTATTCAACAGTTTGTTCTTCCATTTATCAGATTCCACAGAATAATTGAGGTATAATTTATATACAGTAAAATTACTCTCTTTGAGTATAGTTCTGTGCTTCAGCAAATGCATCTGTTCATAAAACCACTCATGCTATCAAGACATAATACACTTCCATACTCCCCCAAAATTCCTTCATCCCACTTGTAACCAACTTCCTCCACCAACCCCATCCCTAATTCTTTGTAGCTACCACTTTTCTGTTGATTTTCTTATCTTTTAATTTTTAGTTTTAATATCTGCAATACTTAATTAAAATGGCCTTTTTTCCCACTAGAGATAGCACAAATCTGTAGCTCAATTTCAGACAGAATCTGTATCTGATACAGATTACATACAAGGCCTCCAGCAGCTCTTTAGGTTCTCTGATGCTCTGTCCTTGCATCGTTGTGGTCCCTGGAACATTCCTTCGTCCTGTTTCTGTTGTTGTAGATTAAATGCTGCTGTGTGTGCAGAGTGTCTGAGATAGCGGACCAGGCCAGTGAAGCCTCGAGTGAATGAGATTATTACATGAAAGGAACCAGTTCACTTGCCGGCAGGGTGTATTCCCATCGTGTTTGGTTCCCCAGTGACTTTGACGCGGCGGCAGGACCCAGTGATGGCCTTGAATCATTTCCCTGACATATTTGGAAAAGGCTAGTGTTACCAAGCAGCCGCTCCACGCTGCTTCTAAGTGGAACCTGGACTCACTGAAGGACACAGCTGACAGACAATTCATTTTGCTGATTCATCCATTAGAGGTGTGGCTTTGAGCCAGAGATTGGCTCCTAGATTAAAGGCAGAGAGCTGCAAAGCTGCTGGGACTTAAAGGAATGCTGGTAAATTATTCCCTAGTGAAGGCCAACAGTGAAAAGTGGATTGTGATGTTTCCCCTTTTAAGTGATCCTAATTCCAAATGTGCTCAGATAAATTCCCTTGCCATGTTAGTGACTTGTTTGTAGCATTTGTCCATGGGGCTAAGAGTAGAATGATTGGAAACGATCAGACACTGCTAAACAGATTGTTTGGCTTCTCTCTGGCCCTGTCATCACCTTTGTTGTCTTGTGGAATATTGACCCAAGCCTACTCTTTCCCTTGGTAATCCAAATTAAATTTGTGAGATTACTGCAAGTGCCATCCTCCTTCTGGATGTGCTTCAGAATAAACCTTCCAGATCAAAGAGTAAAATGTAAGAAGGAGATCCAGGAAGTGCTCATTTGCCAGCCGTCGGTAGGACCTGTGGGTCTCACTGTAGACCGTGCTGATAGATTCGCCTGCGAAGCCGCTCATCCCTTGGCTGGCTGCCCACACCGCGTTATCTCCTCATGAGTCACACATGCAGGTTTGAGCTCATGTTTCAGCACCTCACTCCGCTTATCTGGGAGACTTTGCAGAAGATGAAAGTTCCTTAATACTTTGAGGATTTTTTCTTTTTAACTCTAGAGTGAATATTTGAAAAGTAGAGCAGACTTCCTAATGAAAATTTGTGTTTTATAGAAATGTTTTTTCCTTTTTAAAATTATTTTTAGATGGATAAGTATTTAGGGCACATTATACAAATCATTGTTGTGCTGAGAAGTTTTAGTCAAATCTGGACCACTTGAAGATTAAAAAGTGTCAGGTGCTAGACATGTGCAATGTCTGCTTCTTCTCATACTGCTGCCCCTCCCTTGGATTGAAGGTCCCTGATACATTGGAGTCCCGTGTCCAGTTCTGCATGTTTGTTTCCACTGGCTGCCTTCTACCATACATTCATTCACATAATATTTATTGAAAACTACTCTGTACCAAGAGCTTTGCTAGGTCTGGGGATACAGATTCTGTTTCTGATGTCCTGATGCTGGTGTAGCTACCCAGGTACCAAGTCTACCCCTGACCACATAACAGTCCACTTTTCACTGCTGGCAGGGCTCTTACTGTTTCACTGGCGGTGTAGGGAATAACTTCTGGCAGTGGCAGTGGCAGTGGGCTGGGAGAGTATGTGCCCAAACTGCATGCTCCAGCATGTGGGCACCCGTCCACCCCAGACCTTTCATCAGCCCTCACTGCCACACACCAGTGTGTTCCAGCTACAGCCTCCAAGGAGGGGGAAAGCATGAGATTAGAACAAAACTGACCTGGCTGGAGCTAGAGATGTAGTTCTGTGGCAGGGCACTTGCCTAGCATCCTTAGCCCTGTAAAAACAAAGACCAAACCTGATCTGGCCTCAGTCTGAAGCATTCACATGGTGGGCAGCGAGAAAATAAGCTCTACCTTTCAAGCTCTCCTTCCAGCCAGAGGCACAGCACAGAGAATTAACAGCTTTGAAAGTGAAAGGACAAGAGCCATGTCTCAAGTATTGTGGGAATAGCTGGAATTTGCATGTTGCAAAATGAGAGTCAGAGCAGCAAGAAGGGCCTTGGCAAGAGGGTCAGAGCAACCTGATGTTGCATCCTAGAAGTATCATCCTGCTTTCTCACCAGTAAAAATGATTCCTCCCTTCTAAGTGTACTGTGAAGATCAGACATAGCACTATGTATGCAAAACACTGGGCACAGACACACAGCAGACCTCAGTATTTCACACAGCGCTCACCACCATTGCCCATACAGCTTTTCTTGTCATTTTTAACAGAATAGTGATAGTTTTGCCTAGTGGTTTTATTTTCATTTTCTTCCCCAGAAATGAATAATTTTCAAGCAGTCATGCTACCTGCAAATATTTTGAAAGTCAGTGATTTACTTACATCATTCTAGTTTTTTTACAGTTTACAAAGCACTTTCACACTGTGAAGGAGATTGGAGAGCAGTGACCTTTCCCAGGGTGAGGGTTCTCAGACGAGAAATGTTTATAGAATGTGCCCAGCATCACCTGTTTTGCAAGTGGCAAAGCTGAGGTCAGAGTGCAGACCTGAGCCCAGGGCTCCTTGGGCCACCGCAGGCCACCTCTCCTGAGTGACATCCTCATTTTTTATAAGGATTTCTTTTTTTTCCTTGTAGCTGTCAATACCAGCAGATACGCAGAAAGCTATCGGATCCAGACCTATGCTGACTATGTGGAGAAAAAACAGGAAGAGAAGCAGATCAAGAGAAAGTGGACAGATGACAACTGGAAGGAAGTAGAGAAAAAGCGACTGAGCACACAGAGCTTGTCCCACACACTGCAAAGCCACTATTACCCTCCTGGCAGGTAAAGATGCTGGCAGTTGATGTACCAGAGCAGAGTTGTTCCAGTGTAGCTTTTCTGGTTGCTTGTTTTATGATTATAAGTAAGAAATCAGACTTTTGAGATAGATATTTTTTCATACTTTCCCCCAGTGTCACAAGTGACTGCTACATGAAGTCCTTAGGCTTGAGACAGTGAATGCTTTCTAGACCACAGCTGTCTCAGTTAACTGTCACAAAATCTCCTGGAGCAGGTAGGATACACGTTCTCCCATTTTAGGAGAAAATGCAGGCTGTCTGACTTGCCCACCCATAAAGTTGGGACACCAAGCTCATCTGCTTCTAGTCTTTTTCTGTGGCACCTACCTGAGCTGGCTTTTGGCTTCTACTGAACCAAACCCCAGCCTGCTTAGAAAAAAACTCATGGCACACTCCTCTACATCTGTAATTCCCCTTCAGAAAGTAAATGCTGGCAACATTTGTTACCTTTGTGAAACTGTTAAAGGTAGGTATAGAAAACAGGAAGTCTATATATAATACAGATTAATTATAGAAAATCTTAAAATTTAGGAAATGTGAATTAACAAAAGAAAAAAATAAGCCATAACCCCGAAACCCCAAAACCCCAAAGGAATCACTATTGATATTTTAAATTACTCTCTATAGTTTTAAAATTTTGGGGGGATTTTAAAAAGTAAAGTATAATATTAAGATAATGCACAGATCTCATATGTTCAGCTCAGAGTTTTAACAGTTATGTACATCCATGTAACCACCACCAAAATAAGATAGAGAACATTTTGTCTCTCCCCCCAAATTTCCTTTTACCCTTTTCATGCAGTCTTGAACTACCTCTACCCTAAGCAACCATTTTGTAATTCCTAACACTATAGATTAATTTTGCTTATTCTTGGAATTTTTAAACAGTGGAATCATGTATTGTGGGTATTGTGTTTGCCTTTAATAGCATGTTTTTGAAATTCATCTTTGCTCTTATATCCACTGATCATTTGCTTTTTTTTAAGTAGGATTCTGTTGTATGAGTGTGCAGTATTTGTTTTACCCATTCTCTTGTTGGTACACATTTAGATGATTTCTAATTTGGGGCTGTTACAAATAAGGCTGCTTCAAACACATGCTTAAATTTTTTTTTTTTTTAATCAGCATATGTTTTCATTTCTCTTGAGTAAATCCCTGGGAGTAGAATTGTTGATTGTTAAGATGTTTGATGGTTGGTTAGGTGTTAAACTTTCTAAGAACAATAACAACAAAAACCAGTTCTCCAAAGCAAATATATCATTTTGTAGTACACTGGTATATTGTATGAGCTCCATTTGCTCCACATCCTTGTCAATATTTAGTGCTATCAGTCTTTCAGCCATTCTAGAGGATATGAGATGGTATTTTGTCATGGTTTTAATTGGCATTTCTCTCATGATTAATGATATTGGTCACATTTGTTGTTGCTGGATTGCTGGGGTTCCAACCCAGGGCCTCACCCATGCTGCTAGGCCAGTGCTGTGCCACTGACTGCTGATCTATACCCCAACCCTTGGCCACCTTTACATGTGCTTGTTGACTCTTCAGGTATCTTCTTTTAGGGATGGCTATTTAAGTCTCATGCCTCTTTTTTGTTTTTGAGTCAGCCTGTGTAGTGCAGGCTGACTTTGAGTTCACTATATAATCCAGGCTGGCCTAACACTCACGGCAATCCTCCTGCCTCAGCTTCCTGAGTGCTGGGATTACAGGCATGTGCCACCACACCCAGCTCTTGCTTCTTTTCAAATTGGACTGTTTTTTTTTCTAGTGTTGAGTTTTTGAAGTAGTTTCATGTGTTATGGACAGATATACAGCCTTTGGCAGATAACATGTGTTGCACATGATATTTTTTAGGCTGAGGTTTGCTTAATCGTTTTTGTAATGATGTCTTTTAAAGAACAGATTGTTTTTTAAAACTTTAATGAAATTTTATTTATGATTTTTTTTTTTTATGGCTAGAGGGTTTCTTCCTTAAAAATGTCTGCCTATCCTAAGGATAATTTTTCTCGTGTTTTCTTCTGGAAGGTTTGTAGTTTTAGCTTTTGCATGTGGGTGACGATCTGTTTCAAATTAATTTTGTATATGGAGTAACATGAGTGTCAGGATTTAGTTTTTTTCCTATGGCCGTCTGGGTTTTCCAGCAATATTTATTAAAAAGACTTTTCTTCCCTGTCTTAGTTATTCTTTTCTCATTGCTGAGACAAAATAGCTGACTCCCCAAGTTAAAGAAGGAAAGGTTTATTTAGCTCACAATTTATAGGGGTTTCACCCCATAATCAGCTGGCTCCAAAGCAGAGAAGAGGGGCAGAGGGGCAACAGTTCATGGCAGTAGAAGACAGCAAAAGCAATAAGGGCAAAGGGGGAGAAGCGAGCCTCTTTTCCTCCTGTATATTATATGCAGGCTGCCCGCCCTAGGGCAGGTGTAGCACTCATACCTGTAATCGCAGCACTAGACAGTGAACCAATCACAAACTCTAGATTCAGCCTCCCAGGAACCACCACCCCATGACCACGTGAGGCTTTAGGGTGCCATCCAGACACAAGCCATAACATTCCCTCATTGGTTTAACTCACCATCTTTATAAAAAATTAACTGCATATGACTAGGTCTTTTCTAGATTTGACTCTTCTATTTCACTTATTTATGTCTTTTCTTATGCTAACACCACACCATCAGTAATAAGTAGTCTTATTACCGACAGCGTAAGTTTTGAAATCATATACCTTCTAACGTATGCCTTCTAGTTTCTTTTTCATATTGTTTAGCCCATCTAGATCTTTTACATTTTGTAATAATTTTGTAATAATCTTGTCTATTTAATAAATTTATTTTTCAGTTTTTACTATAAAGATCTTATATATCTTATATTACTTTTCTTCAATATAAAAAGATTATTTTTTTGTTTTTTGGTACCGGGAATCGAACTCACAACTTCTTGCTTGCCAGGCAAATTCTGTGCCACTGAGCTATATCCCAGCTAAGTTTTGATATTATACATGAAATTGTTTCTTAAATTTCATTTTCAAATTATTTATTGCTTCTATATAGAAATATAATTCATTGTTGTAGACTGGCCTTTTATCCTACTACCCTTAAATTCATTTATTTGTTCTGATAGTTTTCCTAAACATTCCGTATGGTTTTCTGTCCGCACAATTACACTATGTCTGTAGTAGTTTTTTGTTTTGTTTTGTTTTGAGACAGAGATTTTGCTTTGTAGTCCAGGCTGGCTCTGTCTGTAGTCTTTATGATAGCAATCACAATAGCTCTTAATAACTTCTTTGATTTCTCATCTAGCAAGATATTCCAGGCTTCTCCTACACATTCTTACCTTCTGTTTCTCTATGGAGCACTATTCCTGTTAACTGGAAATGGGAAATGATGTTTAGAGACCATAGTCTGAGTTCTACGTGTGTTTGTGGATATTTTATTGGCTTTTATTTTGTTTTTTGTTTTTTTTTTTGGTTTTTCTCCGGTACCGGGAACCGAACTCACGACCTTGTGCTTGCCAGGCAGGCGCTTTTGCCGCTGAGCTAAATCCCCAGCCCCTTTATTGGCTTTTAAATAATAGCCCTTTTGAATGAAGAGTTAGCAAGGAAGTCTTCTTTTCACTCTTTTTCTTTTTTAAGATAAATTTATATGGATATTTCCAATTTTAATTAGATTCTACAACTTTGCTTAATTTCTTTTATTATAATTCTTATTATGCTGAAGATTGTGGTTCCTAATCATATGAGGCATTTTTTTAATCCTACAATATGTAATAGTCTCAGAATAACTATTGATGCCATCACTACTATATATAATTATTTAAAAATTTTCAGTTACTTTTCTCATTAGAGTATATTCCACTAGGAATTGATGGTCAGATTTTGTGTTTGGGGAGCTAGACATATAGCTCAATGGCAGAGTGCTTGCCTAGCACGCACAAGGTCCTGGGATTTACCACAGCACATATACTTGTGTACACACACAAGCACATACACCCCAACCTGTGTTTTAAAGTCCCTTGAGATAATTCATCTCTGTATAATTAAACTACACATTCATTAGGGATTACTTTTTATAGAATTTAAATTTGCTTTATAATTATGTAAAATCATTAGGTGGTTCTAGCATATTCAGGAAAATGTCTTCTCCCCTTGCCTTTTGTGTCTGTTTTCTCCCATCCCCTTCAGGTAGACTTGGTTTTAGTCCACCCCTCTATCTTTACAAGTGTGTAAATGACTGCACATACCCCACAGGCACACATTTTGCTGGGTGAATAATAATGCATCACACACACTGTTCTCTACTGTGTTCTTTTTTTTTTTTAGCCATAGACTTGTATCTTGGAAATCTATTAAATTGTGGATTTTTACACTGCAAGGGACAGTGGTGTTCTTCAGCCTCCTTAGTAAAGCATACCAGCCGGCTACTCCTGGCTGTTTGAATTCTAGTTTACGTTACTGACCTCATAGCAAAATTCATGAATACTATACGAGTCAGATGCTTTGTGAGAAACTAACTCAGGACCAGTGCTCTTGTTCAGATGAATCATATTATTTTAGTAACCTTTTCTTATCTTGTGTGTTTCCTGTCCCATTAGGATAAAGCCTAGTGACAACCAGGATGCTTTCTGGAATCTTCATAGGCCAACATGAGAAACAAGAGACACTCATATTTATTAAACACATTTTTCTTTCCAGGTCCTGTGTAAAGTGCTTTTTATCATTTTATTTAATCTCTACAGCTCCTGAGCAAAACCCATTGTGATATGATATTCCTGATTTATATCAGAGAAAGTTGAGTCCCACCAAAGCTGAATAATTTAGCTACAGTTAGACAGAATTCTGATGTAGAGGCATTTTGGATCCGTAGTACAATGTATTAAGTTACCTTTTAGGATTGTGGTGCGTTTACACTTACCCTTGACTTCAGGCTTGAGAGAGACATCTTATTTTAATAAAGTATGTTCCCTTATGTCAAATAAACAAACAAAAATGGTAAAGAAACCCTAAGAAAATCTCCATATTTCAACCTCACTTCTTTTGGGGTAGGATTTAGATGGCCAGTGTCATAGATCACCAGTGTAAAACTTAAAAAGAGACAAAAGTGACCCTGGGTTGAGGTGCAAACCAGTATCAGTCAGGGTTTACTAGAGAAACAGATAAAACACAAGGTATACAAAAGTATAGAAATTACACAATTGGCTTACAATGGTCAGCCACAGAGTCAGATGAGGAAGCACATAGAAGGTGTCTGCACACTTGAGACTGAAGGATCCAGTCCAAGGTCTGGAGCTCACTGCAGTTTCCATGCAAGTCCGTGTTAGGAGACCGATGGGTCTGGGACAGAAGGCAGTGAGTCTATGCTAGAAGGCTGAAGGATCCAAGGTGGAAGCCGAAGAGTGTGCACTAGAAGCCAGGAAACGATGTCCAAGCTAAAGGCGAAGACTAGAGCTCCTCTGAAGAATGGAAGCCCCTCTGTCCTTCTTCATTTCCCTTTTATACCATCCAGGCAACGAGCTACCCTAGGGTGGGTCCTGTATTCTCCAGGGTGTAGAATTACTGAGCCAATTTAGTTAAGCTTCTGAACTTCTCAAGTTGACACAGTCAACCACTACATGCAGTGTCATCCTTCTGGTTTGCTCATCCCTGGTGTTGCTCTTAGTGGAACCCAGTCTGGTCTTTGATGGATGGCTGAATGATTTTAAGTAAGAAACCAGAACAAGTAGCATGGTGGTAAGAGGAAGGGAGAACGTTGAGTCTGTTCAGCCTGAAACAGATATAGCAGAGGGCAGGAGGGAAAGTGTAATAACCACATCTGGATTATGAAAAGACACTGTCAGAAAAGGAGTAGACTTCAGAGAAGCCTGAGGGTGCTTAGCAGCAGCAGTACCCTTTATCCTCTTCAGCTGGTGAGAGTCCCTGAGGGTCAGGACAGGATGACTTGCTCCAGGCTTGGGACAGAGCTTTCTGCTACCTTCCCACCACTCCCCTCACTTTGGCTACATTTAATGATCTTTTAAAAGGCTGTGGTGATTTCAAACCACAGGAATTCTGGAGACATCTTTTTCCAAATGCTATTTTGTTTTTAGTAAGGAAGAGTGACCCACGTCCCCCCATCCTTCCTCTTACTCAGCTGCTTTCCACTTTACCAGCTGAACAGTTGAACGGACCATCAGTCTTCTCTGAAGTAGATATTTTAAGAAATCAGTGTAAATATTTAGCATAAAACTAGAGTCTAGCCGGGTATGGTGGAACACACCCATAATCCCAGCACTCAGGAGGCTGAGGCAAGAGGATCACCATGAGTTCAAGGCCAGCCTGCACTACATAGCGAGACCCTATCTCATAAACAAAACAAAACACACAACTAGAGTCTAGGGAATGTAAAGTACAGAATTTTAAACTGTACGTTTAGTAGTAAAATAAAATGATTAACCAGGAAAATTGGTTTCACTGTGGATTATGCCTAAGACAAAGCCTAATTATTAATCAAGATATAGTACAACTCTTAAGTAGTCTAGCCTGGGGTATAGCTCAGTGGCATGGCACCTGCATGTGCGAGGTCCTGAGTTCGATTCCCAATATCACAAGAAAAAAGTAGTCTGCCCCTTCTGCCTGGCCAGGCATCAAGGAAAGATTGGACTGGAAAAACTTACTGGCTCTTTCTTTGACTTCTCTTAGATCAGTACATCAAGACACTATTGCTTCCTTCCAGAGGAGTTATTGGAATAGGGTTCCTGAGAAAAACAACACATAAACGCTGCAGGCAACTTGGATAAGCAAAGTATCCATAGTGGAATATTGTGTAGCCCTAACAGGAGGGTAATTCTCACAACGCTATAACATGGGTATACCTTGAGAACATTATGCCGAGCAAAATAAGCCAGTCGCAAAAGGACAGATACTGTAGGATTCCACTCATAGAACATACCTAAAATAAGTCAGACTCATAGAGAAAGAAAGGAGAACAGTGGTAGCCATAGGCTGGAGAGAGGAGAGAAGGAGCAGCCTTACTTAGTGTGCTGTAGCTTTGCAAAATGAAGTTTTGGGGACTGGTCACACAATAATGTGAATATACTTCACACAGTTAAATGTACGCTTAGAAATGGTTAGGGGCTGGGGCTGTAGCTCAGTAGTAGAGCACTTACCTAGCCTGGGTAAGGTCCTGTTTTTGAGCTCAGCTTCTCTCTCATTCTGTCTCTGTCTCTGTCTCTGTCTCTCTCTCTCTCTCTCTCCCTCTCTGTCTCTCAGTGGTAAAGATAGTAAGTTTTGTTATATGTACTTAACTACAATTAAACATTTTAAAGAAATTCAGTCAACTTGTAATGTATTTTTACAGTGAATTTGATTTGAAGCTTTTCTCATAATGGTTAGAAGTGGAATGATGTTAAGATACCTAGAGTAAGGATATATACAGGAAATTGTGAATTAGTATCTAGAAGAGTGGTTGAATTCACTTTTACTTGCCGCTTACCTGTTTTGTGCTTCATCGGTTCTATTCCTCCCCTGCCCCCAGTGCTCAGGATTGAAGCCAGAGCCTTGCACATGCTAGGAAAGTGCCCCACCACTGAGCTGCATCTGCAGCCCTTAAAATGCATCAGATTCTAGCCTTTCTCTTCTCATCTGTGGTATGGGCTATGACACATGCGCACCTGGGTGGGTTGATGTTTAGATGAAGATTTGCTCGAACTCAGCTAGGTAATAAAGTGTCAACTGTACAGATGTTAACAAGGCGCAGCTGTGAAAGCACAGCAGTTATATTTATTAAAAATTATCCATATGTGTACTTTTAGGACTTATTTTATTTTTGCAGTGCTGGGAATCAAACCCAGCTCCTTGCACATGCTTGGGAAGTGGTCTGTACTACATACCAGCCTTGTATATTTTTAGAGTTCATTCTCCTAAGATTTCTTTAGCTGGTTTTTAAACGTTTGTAGTTACTTTATTAAAACTTAGAAGATTTTAGCAATGATTTACCTTTCTTTAAATTTGAAAACAGACAAGTTTTTTTCTATCTTCAATAAAAGTCAGCATCTTCATTTAAAAGCTCCTGCATGGAAAATTCAGAGTTTGGCACTGAGAGCTTGCTCTCACCTCACACTGTGAAGCAGTGCATCATCTCAGGGTTGTATTTTAAATAACATGAAGCTAAGTTTAACTTCTTCTTACACTTACATGACTTTTGATGTGTTGGATTGCTTTCATGTTTCATAATAGCTGCAATATTTGAAAATTAATGTTTTCTTTCCATATCTTTGTTATTTATTTGATTAACCCTAATTAAAAGTTCTGTCATCGAAGTTTCTAACCGTGTGTTATATACTTGGTAGTTGTGTTCATGTAGTCATATAATGTGTTTGTACTAGTACAATGGTGCTAGGGATGGATACATATTGCCCTGCACATTTAGAAGATAGGGTACTGAAGTGCTATTTTTCCATGTCTGGCAACTAAGCACAAAACAGATTTCCTACTTGAGTTGTCCATATTGTGTGCATTTAGGCCTTTTTTTTATTATTTGTAATAGTGTTAATGTAAATAAAGTATGAAGTGTGTAAATCCTGTGTTTTAATTGCCAGATGTAGAAATCCGTAACATTTTTCTGGCAGTTCTTTTTGACACTTATGCTTACTTAAAATTCTGCCAGCACATTTTCAGCCAGCAGGAACTGCAGTGTGTTTGTGTTCATTTGGAGGAGGCCCAGTGCAAGGGTGAGGAATGACTGCTGTGGCCCAGCACCACATTTGCCATTGTCCTGAGAGTGGTTCCAAGTTTAAGTGTTGTCTGCCTTTTTGAGGTGCCTCCTTTTGTCCACCCAAGAATCCCTGACACACTTTTCATTTCCTTCTGCTGTGCTGCTGGTAGTGCAGAAGACAAATGCTTGCCAGATGGGAAAATTCTAGATCCTCCCATTTGTTTTCCCTTGTGCACTTACGCTCCCAAATGCAAAAGGACTAAAACCTATAGTCAGTAAGTGGATGTTTGCTATATACTGCCTTATAAACTTTTCTATGTACTTGAAGTTTTTGAATAAAATGTTAGAGAACAGTGGCACTGTGGTTCTGGAAACCTCATGCACATGTCCAGCAGAGTAGGCCCCTGTGCGGGGCTCTTAGTGATGGTGGGTTCTGGGCAGCCCTGCATTCACACAGTGCCGTTCAGCCTGTGCTTTCCTGCACATGCTCAGCCCTCAGGACCGTCCAGTATACGCTCTTCTTCCTTCCCGTCCCCTCCTCCCTTCCGGAAGCTTTGCAAAGATTTGAACCACTGTCTCTGAAGACTCAGATCAGTATCATCTCTAAAAACATGGATCTGCTGAGATTGATTGACATCAACTTAGTATGTGTTTATAGGTTGCAAATAAAATGTTAGAATGAAGCAGAAAATCTTGAGTTCCTGTACCATAAAATATTACACATTTATACTAATTTGAAAATTACTCACTGAAAGATATTTTAGACTAAGTTTCTACACAATAAATGTCTGTTTATGTAAACAGTTATCATTATATTTGGAAATGTCATGTGTTTTTATAGTGTTTCTTTCAGGCAAGTATTCACATTAAAATCTAAGATCTAATAAAAATAAAAAAATATGAAGATGGATCTTTTTCACTGTAGAACAGGGAGAGAACAGAGAAGGCACTGGCATTAAGATTGTGCCATGTGCTGGGCACCACAACATGTGCTCTTTGGTTTTGTTTTGCTCTTATTTAATCCTCAGAATAATCTATTTTCTAATTGAGAAACTTGCTCGGAGTCACACAACCAGTAATAGGCAAAACTGAGATTTAGACCCTCATTGCTTGCCTCCCAAGTCCTATTTATGCACTTTGCAAAGTGGTGCTTCTTTCTCAGATACCAAATTGTTATCCTTCCTGGACACTGGAAATGCCTTCCTAGATGCTTTCTGTGCCACCTGGAGACTTTGGTAATTCTTGGCCTTGGGGACTCATGTAGGAAATAAAAAGAGAGGAGATTATTACTTGCTCACAATTAACATTCTACCCTCTGACACATGATACATAAGTCATTCAGGAAAATGATTAATGAACCTAAGGGCCTGTAATCCTTGGAACTCCTGTTCCCAGCCTTTTTTATTAAAGGCTCTGCCTTTTCTTTTTAACACTGCAGCCATGTAAAGAGTGTTTTCAGTTGATTTTCTATAGATGAGACAGAGAAGAATGACATTCTTTCCATAATTACACCAACACTGACCTCGTGTTATTGCCTTACCTGTTGCTTAGACTGAAAGAGTTATTGGAAGTGGGAATAGATATCCTCTGGATGCCTTTGGACATCTCAGGTCTGAAGACCATTCATGCATGCCTGGTTTTTAAAGGGAAAACAATTTGAAAGTAAATCAATCCCATGTGACACTGAAGAAATCAGTACTTAGATGAGCATTGTCTTAGTATTACGAGCACATGTCATCTACTTAATACAGAGACTTAGGAAATTCTTGTGAAGGACCAGGATATGTGTTAGTTCATCATCTTAAATTAGTGTTTCTAATTGTTAGAAGGGATTGGTTTCTAGTCTGGTATAGTTAATGAATTTAATGAATTTCACCTCACAAAAGTCTTCACAAACAAATCCAACATGGAAAAAGCGTGGAGTTTCTTGATGGCCTAACATCTTCTGGTGGGTGGTTCTCTGTTAAGTGAAATGACAGGTGGCTCGTTGTTCTCTTAGTCCTCTGATAAAGCCATCCTCATACTACACAGATGCTTCAGATTGATAGTGCTGACTATGCCATCTCATTTTGCCTAAAATTCCAAACAGGAATGTCCATTTAGAATGGCTGAGTAATGACGTGTAATGAAACCATTAGAATCTAAAGTTCTCTGCATGTTGACAGCCTTCCTTTTATCCTCTTCTTTCATCCCTGCTTTCTCTCTATTAGTGCTAACCATTAGCATATGGTGAAAAAGGCATCAGATAAGAGTGAACACACATGCAGAGAGGAAGGGTTGGATCCCTCCACACACCTACCTCCTTCCTCTATCGTCATTTGTAAAGCAGTGGTTCACATCTAAATTTGATCCTGCCCAGTTGGTAGTATGTTTCCTTCCCTTTTCAAGTTGGAGTTACCAAGTTTATAAGAAAAATGGAACCAAAAATGACAATATCCAAAGAGAATGTATTCAAAATACACAGGATTAAGATATCAATGCTATAAATTTTGCTGTCTTTTAGGGAGCTGGCTTTGAGTTTTTTCTTGTGTCATTTCCATTTGTAAATGTTAGTAATTGTAGGGTACACTAATACTGCAATAATCTAAATGAATGGAAGTCTGAGGACTAGATTGTAGGACGTTTTCCAAAAAATGGGGATATTCTTTTTAGGAATGTTTGTAATCATGTGAGCCAGAGTGTAACCTGATAAAGCCATGTACTTTGTAGGACTGAGAAACTGTGGAGGTAACCTTGCCCATCCCTGCCACATTAGAAAGAAGAACTGAAAGCAGTGTCTTACTCAGGGTCACAAAACCAGTTTGTAACAGATTTAAAGGTAAATGCTGATTTCCTATTGGTATAAAGGTTTTTCACATATTAAGAGAGTTATGAAGTCTTTGACATTCTTTAAAAAACATTTTCAATGAACTACATGAACATTGTTTTTAAAAGCCAAATGATATTTTAAAATTTTATAATAAAAGGTAACAGTCTCTTGCTGCTTCTGTCTTGTCCCACAGAAACAGTCATTTCCAGTCCTTTCTTTCTGACACCCAGCTTACTTTTTCCAAATACTGTGCCTACTGTCCCTTCTTGATTTGACTTGCAAGGATGGTAGGTAAGCTCTACACCCACCCAAGCAGGTTGCCTTCCCCACCTCACCCCTTGCCTTCTAATGTTGTTTTGTGTTTTATTTTGTTTTGTGTTCTCCCTAAAACTGTTTTGGCTGCCCTAGATCCTTTTCATTTTCCTTTAAATTTTAGAATCAATTTGTTAATTTATGCAAAAGTGCCTGGTAGACTTTGGGGTTGATTTTGGACAAATAGTATACACTTTTAGCTTATCCTAGTCTATACTATTCCATAGATAGTATAAGAACTTTATAATAATATACTTACATTTCTCCCTTCTCAACCTTTATGCTCTCAGATGCATATTATTTTTATATATTATATACAACACAGTGATGTTCATAAAAGCGTTGAGTAATACGAAGTCTTATTTCAAATGTATTTATATAAAAATGTAGACACACTTTCTTCAAGTAACTTGCAACAAGGAGTAAGCGTTGGTGAATTATCTTACTCCTTTCTAAGTTTAGATCAGCTTGCAAAATGTTATCTTTTGCACTTTCCATGTCAGGAAGTTTCTCTGAGGGTCTCTTTAATGTGAAATGTTTTGCTGGTGTTATTTCCTCTGGGATATCTTCATCTTTTTGCCACAGCCACTTTCCTCACTTATGCTAAGTTATTTTCTTTTTTTCTTTCTTTTTTTTTTTTATTTTAGAAATTAAAGGAGGAAAATACTAACAGACCGACAACATTTTACAAAATGGCATAGGATTAGTACAGACATTACAGAGTTACAAACAGAGTGGTAGGGAATTAACAATGCTTATTGTATTACATATTGATATCTTCAATGTAGTTTCTCATGAAAACACATATAGACATACAAAGCTAATCAACCAATGCCTCACTGACAGTTTCTTTCAGCAAGGAAATACAGGACAGTAGAACACCCGTGTTAACTATCCTGCATATACATATATACAAACTTTCTCCTTTCCCTTCTCTTTTCCCATATCCCAGTTATCCTTTCCCTATGAGTTCTTTCCTATCACTTCTCAATGTCTATCATATCTCCTAGATTAAATTAACTCTTTCAGCCTTTACACTAGAGAAACAATGCGGTGCTTGCACATGTATGTTTGATTTATTTCGCTTATGAGTATGGTCTCTAGTTGTGACCATTTGCCTATAAAAGCCTCGTTTATCTTTCTTTACAACTGAGTAATATTCCATTATATAAAAGTACCACAATTTTCTTATCCAATCCTCAGTGGATGGACATTTGGGTTGCTTCCACATTTTAGCAATTACAAATTGTGCTGCTATGAACATGGGTGCACATACATCACTGTGATATGATGTTTTTAGATCTTCTGGGAAAATACCCAGCAGGGGGATAGCTGGGTTGAATGGGACCTCTAGGCCTAGTTTTCGGAGGAATCTCCAAACTGATTTCCACAGTGGTTTCACCAGTCTGCATTCCCACCATATGCTAAGTTATTTTCACTAAGCTTCTCTGTCTGCATAGCCGCAGTAACCTAAACTGTGGCAGTGTCAGCATGACTATGGGTAGTTACTCTTTTGTAATGCTACTTTTTGTAATTTGAATTTTATTTCTAACATCATTACTTGTTGATTCTTCACTATCCTTTTTGTTGTTGGCTAGTTCCCTCTGGGGATCAAACCTAAGAATGCTGTACTACCATACTGTATCCCACCCATTTTTTATTTTGCAACAGGGTCTCACTAAGTTGTCTAGGCTAGCCTTGAACTCGTGATTCTCCTATCTCTGGCTCCTGAGTAGCTGGAATTACAGGTGCACACCACTACACTCAGCTTGATTTTTTTGTTTTTTAGAGTGCTGCATGGGTTTATCACTGGGAAACAAGGAGGCAGCACAGCTGTGTGCTTTGCTGTCTATGTGTGAACTGCAGACCTAACAGTGAAGTTTGTACCAAGGCATAGGAAGTCACTTCACAGTTTTTTATTCATTCATTCATTCATTCATTCATTTATTCTGGGGGAGTACCGGGAACTGAACTCAGGACATTGTGCTTGCCAGGTAAGCACTTGTGCTGCTGAGCTATATTCCAGACCCCCTTCATATTGTTATAGGACAAGAAGAAGGCAAACACTCTTCAGACTGTTATGAATGTTTGGTTGTAACCAAAGCTTACATGTTATTCATATTTCCTTAGTTTTTAAACTAATGTGCCTTTTCTGTCTCAGGTCAATATTGTACCTAGGATACCACACTACGTTTATTCATCATACCGCCTTAGGGTCCTCTTGGTTATGATGGTTTCTCACATTTTCTTTGTTTTTTTTTTTTATTTTTAATTTTTTTTGGTTTTTCTCTGGTACCGGGAACCGAACTCACGACCTTGCGCTTGCCAGGCAGGCGCTTTTGCCGCTGAGCTAAATCCCCAGCCCCACATTTTCTTTGTTTTTGATGACCTTCACAATTTTGAGTATAGGCCAGCTATTCTATAGGATGTCTTCCATTGGCTTATCTTAGAGTTTTCTAATGGTCAGGCTAAGGTTTGGGTTTGAAATGGAGGGCCACAGAGCTAAAGTGCTGTTTCATATCCATGGCACATGCTGGCAACATGATGCTGATCTTCATCACCTGCATGAGGGAGTGTCGGGGTTCTCCACTTTAAAGTTACCATGTTCTCTCTTTCCAAACTACTTTTTGAGAGGAGGCTACCAAGATCGAAACACTCATCTGCAGATTCAACCAACTACAGATCAAAAATATCGGGAGGGAAATTGAGTCTGCGCTGAATATGAACAATCTTTTGTCATGTCATTATTCCCTAAACAATATAATGTAACGACTACATATAGCATCTACACTGTATTAGGTATTATAAATAATCTAGAGATGATTCGTAGTATACAGAGCATGTGTCAGTTCTGGGCATATACTGTAGCATTTTATAGAAGTAACTCAACATCTTCAGATTTTGGTATCCTTTCGGGTTCTAGAACCAGTCTTCCATGGATACCGAGGGATGATTTTTTTATGTTTTGCTTCCTTGATGGAGGAGTATCTACATAAACTGCTTCTTCTGAATGAGACATTTGGCTCTTCTCTCTCAGTCATTCATCTTATCATTTTATGGACGTAAGTTTTTACGAAGAAAACACACACTAATTCTCAGTAGTTTCTAGTGTTCTAAATTGTAGTATACTAAGTAAGTCATGTTTTTACTTTTTTTGGCATTTCTCTATTTTTAACCTATGATGAGAGAGCTTATAATGTTTTGATAAAAATGTTTAAAGGTCACCAGAAAAATCCATTTTTCCTATTGATTGTTAACATTGCTTTGCACCATTTGAGCTTGTCTAGACATTTCTATGCCCTTGTGCAAATCACGGATTGGCTGGAGTTTTTAAAGTTTTTTGCTTCTTTCTGCTTTGTGTCTGTTTCTTGGGAGATTCTTTTTGCTGTCTGCATATTAGTCTGTTTGGGTTGTTGCCTTATATTGGAGGCTTTCTTCAAATAATTGGCTGTTCCTGGCCATCCAGTATTAGGAATGAATGAACTAAAAATGACTGAGAAGTTGTGGGTGTAGAGACAGACCCTGCTACCTCTACAGTGTGATAAGGTAAGAAGCTAGTTTTAAAATTACATATTTTTTCTCTGATGATTTTTCAGTTTCTTTATGGATATATGAGAAATCTTTGCCTAAGCTTTAGTCACCAATTTTTTCTCACATTTTTTTGTAGTTTTAAGTTTTATGCTTAGGTATGTGATCTGTTTCAAGCTAGTTTTTACATATGGTGAGGCAAGGGTACAAGTTCTTTTTTGTATCTAGGCATCCAGTTATGCTAACACCACTTTTTTTAAAAGGCTATCCTCTTGCTATTGAATTTCCTAGACTTCTCAAAAAAACCACCTCATTTGGAAAACACACACACACAAACACCTCTGCACTCTGTCGTGTCACTGATCTGTCTGGCCTTTCACCAATGCCATTCTGTCTTGCTTACTGTAGCTTTATAGTGAATCTTGAAA